CTCTCTCTCTCTCTCTCTCTCTCTCTCTCTCTGTCAGTCTGTCTGTCTGTCTGTCTCTCTCTGTCTCTCTCTTTCTCTGCGCCTGTGCTTTTTGTTCGGTTGTGGACGAAAACAAGCTTCAAGCAAGCGGAAAACACGCGTAGGTAGAATCCGAGTGGAACGCAAAACGAGGTTCTGGGCTCTGGGCTCTTACAAATTGGAAGTCCGTGATAGTACTAACGAAACGACACCGAGATGAAACGAAAGGTGGTCTCAGATTTTGAAAGGCTTTGATATGTTTTTCTGCAAGACAAATCCACATGATTATACACTTTTCAAACCAGCGAAATTCTGTGATCATTTTTTTAAAAGGAGAAACCATTGCCCTCAACATTCACTTAAACTTTAAATCCAATTCACAATTTGCCAGAATCACTTCTCTACATCCTTCTTCCATGCATCGCTTCCTGGATGACTGAACGGTTTTATTTTTACGAGGAGTACGTGATACTTTTTGTCACTGATGTACACATTTTGTTCTTAACATTCTAAACGGACAGGTTAACCTTGTGTTACTTTTTGAAAAATTCAGAGAAAATAGAAAACAGTTATTATAGAGTGACATCCGTCAACAAAGACAGATAGTGGGTGGTTGGTGGGTGCTCTGGTGTGGTTTGCTTCTTCTTTCCTTTCAACATCCATCGTCCTTATCTCCCCGTAAAACCTCTACTAAAACTAATCTAAAAGACAGATAAATATTGAAAAAAAAGAAAAGCTGTGAATCATCAAAAGTGAAAATAAGATGTAATGTGTATACTGGCTTAAAACAGCAACAATACAACATCAAACAAACAGAACAAAAACAAACATTGAAACCATAATAGTGAACCAACTCACCGGCCAAAAAGAGCCCCTTGGAACCATGATAAAATCCAGTTTGCGAATGGCGGACGAATCAAGGAGTATACCTGCCTAAATATGGCCTAAATGCAGTGCCCCCAGCTCTCTCTCTCTCTCTCTCTCTCTCTCT